AGTGCCTTGCTCTCCCTTTGGCCAGCTTCCATTATGGAAGGTCTGCAGCCTAACAACACGTCCCAGCAACTTAGTTCCATCACTTCTCCATGGAGGTTGGCGATTTTATTGCTTTTATGCAAACAGACATTGCGTTTAACCTCCATGTCTCTTTGCTTCTACTGAGCGATGGCAGTCCTTGGGAGTCTGAATACTGTTTCCTTAGCCTGCAGATTGCCCATCTGGTTTGGTCTGATGGTTGGTTTGGTATTGAGTGTTTGGCATAGAGATCCCACAGAAGGAACACTACATCCCTCTGAGGATGTCATTTCAAAGAAATGTTCTGTCCACACGCCTTACCTAAAGTCAGCAACTTTAAGTAAATCTTTATTCTGAAGTTACTGTGTCCCTCTTGAAAATGAGTAAGTGTTGTGGGAGAACCTTTGAATCCTTGTAGACATATGGTCTCTCCTTGAGCTGCTGTTTATACAACTGGGCATCTGTCAGTAGAGCTGTAGTGATTGCTGTCGTGGTGTTCCATTTGTGAATTTCTACTTCCTTCTTTATCTGCCACACTTTAGACATGGTGCCCTCCCTCCACTCGCCTGTCTCGGATCATTTTCTGTGATCTTACCAGTTCCCGTTATTTTAAGGGCACTATTAAATAATGACCTCTCTCCTCAGACCAGACTTCTCTTCTGCACTCTAGCTGCCTAGATGTATTCAGTTGAAATGAACCCTTGGTCTCTTCCAACTCAGCAGTGTCAATGTGACATCTCCTTTGCCACTGTACAGAATCTGTTTCTCTTCTGTTACAGACCTTTTGGGTGATGTCACCACCTACTAGCTTACTAATATTGGCGAACTCCAAAGGTCTCATGTTGAAACATAACCATTAATGAGATGGTGTTAAAAGACAGAAACTTTGTGATTGGTCATGAGGATGGACTCACAAATAGAATCGCATGCTTGATTCAAGTTCCCTATGGGAACTGCCTTGCCCATTCCCTCCTATGAAGACAAGCAGGATGGTGCCATCTGCCAGGAAGAGGCCCTGGGAATCCACAATCGTCTCGATCTGTGACTGCCACTTTCTAGAACCTACAGAAAGAAATGTTTGACATTTGTAAACAACCTTGTCCATGGCACTCTGGCATAGATGCCTGAATGGAGTAAGATGCTTCTAATTTAATATCACCTGTAACTTCTCCCCTTTTAACCTTTCAAATCCTGGTTCGCTCTGACTGAGCCATTCCTCCCATTCATTCTCTTCTTTCTTTTGTTGTTTGAAAGTTTCTAAGACTTTAGTACTGGGGAGTTACAACCTCACCCACTTTTAGGACTGAAAGAGAAATTCACACGTCTTCAATAAACATTGTGGAAAAATTTTTTGGGACAGTGGAAAAAGAAAAGGCAAAACTCCCTCATCTTTCTGCATCCTAACTGTGGTCCCTGTTTCTTCTGTGTCTGTTTGCTTCCTGCTGCTGTGATAAGCACATGACATAAACACACGGAGGAGGAAAGGGTCTGTTTCAGCTAACATCCTGCAGTCTGTTACGGAGGAAAGGCAGGGTAGGAACTCAGTGAAGGCACCTGGAAGCAGGGGCCACAGAGCTCTTACTAGCTTGCACCTGTGGCTTCCTCAGTTTACTTTCTGAAATAACCCAGGACCGCCTTCCCAGAGGTGACATCACCCATAGAGGGCTGAACCCTCCCACATCCCATCCCTCTTCAATTGTAAAATCTCCTTACAGACTTTCTTGAAGGCCAATCTGATGGAGGCATTTCCCAGTCAAGGATCTTCTTCCCAGACAACTCTAACTTGTGTCAAGTTGGCAAAAAACAATCAAAAATCCAACAAGGACAACTATTATTCTATCTCATCTCAGACAGGTGTTCTACTCAGAGGCAGGGACACACACATACACACACACACACACACACACACACTGAATCGTGAGTAAGAACGCAGGCTCTGGAGTCATACCAATTACTGTTTGAATCTCGGTTTCATCTTTACTAGTCATGTGACCCTGAGCCAGCTACCTGGGTCATCATGCCTCAGTGTGACCCACAGGGAGAGGCATACTAGTATTGGACTCATGGGCTGTGGTAAGGATTACAAATGAGATGGCATGCAGCAGCACATGGCCTGATCTGTGACTAACGTACTGGTTCAAATTGTCTTTTCAAGCCTACTGCATGGGTAAGAGTAAAGCTGCCTCTGGCCACTTTTAGAACAACTACGCATTGTGACACCTTTATCTCCACTGTCTGCTGAGCGTGGGCGAGTGCTAAGGATCGAATCCAGGACTCTGTGCTATATGTGTAGTAAGCTGAATTCCCAGGCTTTCCAATTTGACCTTCATAAGAGCTCAGTGAAGCTTCATAGAGCAACTACTTTGAAATCTAAGGAACTGGTCCAAGGTCACATGCTTACTTAGCACAGTCCTGGGCCCGAATTCCTATGTAGCTCATCCTACCGATGAGTCCATAATCCTTTAACAAACTCTGAAAGACACCACTGCCAGCATCATATATGTTTACACATATGGACACGCACATGTACGTGTCTATGCGCATGTATCTATGATACCTACTTGGACAGTGGGGAAAATATGCCTGGCATCAGTCAGGCTCTGTCAATGAAGGGGGATGGATGGATTTTTAGTTTTATAGGTTTCTGTGGTGTGTAATAGGCATGTTTGAAAGAAGGGTTTGAAATCCTTCGCAAAATAAGTATTGTTACACATATTGTCCTGGTTAGTTTTATGTCCACTTGGCACAAGCTGGGATCATCTGAGAAGAGGGAACTTCAACTGAGAAAACACTGCATTAGATTGCCTATATCTAGTCTATGGGAACATTTTCTTTTTCTTTCTTTCTTTTTCTTTCTTTTTCCTTTTTGGTGCTTTTGGAGCCTATCCTGGAACTAGCTCTTGTAGACCAGGCTGGCCTCGAACTCACAGAGATCCACCTGTTCTGCCTCCTGAGTGCTGGGATTAAAGGCATGCGCCACTACCACCCGGCCTTGGAATATTTTCTTTTTTTAAAATTTATTTATTTATTTATTAAAAATTTCCACCTCTTCCCTGCCTCCGTTTTCCCTCCCCCTCCCCACCTCCCCCTCCCTCTCTAGTCTTAAGAGCAGTCAGGGTTCCCTGCCCCATGGGAAGTCCAAGGTCCTCCCCCCTCCATACAGGTCTATAAAGGTGAGCATCCAAGCAAACCAGGCTCCCACAAAATTAGTCCATACAGAAGAATAAAAACCCAGTGCCATTGTCCTTGGCTTCTCAGTCAGCCTTCATTGCTAGCCACATTCAGAGTGTCCATTTTGATCACATGCTCCATCAGTCCCAGTCCAGCTGGCCTTGATGAGCTCCCATTAGATCAGTCCCACCGTCTCAGTGGGTGGATGCACCCCTCATAATCCTGACTTCCTTGCTCATGTTCTCCCTCCTTCTGCTCCTCATTTGAACCTAGGGAGTTCAGTACTCCAATGCGGGTCTCTGTCTCTATCTCCATCCATTGCCAGATGAAGGTTCTATGGTGATATGCAAGATATTCATCAGTATGGCTATGGGATAAGGCCAGTTCAGGCACCCTCTTCTCTGCTGCCCAAGGAACAATCTGGGGACCTCTCCTTGGACCTGGGAACCCCTCTAGAATCAAGCCTAATGATCGATGGAGGAGAACTCAGCCCACCATGGTCAGTGTCACCCTTGGACAGGTGGCCCCCGGTGCTCTAAGAAAGCAGGCTGTACAAACCATGGCGAACAAGTCAGTAAGCAGTGCCCCCCTCCATGACCTCCACTTCAGCTCCCGCCTTCAGGTTCCTGCCTTGCGTTCCTGTCCAACTTCACTCCATAGTGGAGCCAGAAGCTGAAATAAACCCTTTCTCCCCAAGTTTATCTTGGTTAGGGTTTAACCTCGACCATACGAGGCAAACTAAGACACAGATGCAACTGTCTTTTTATTTTTGAAACTCCAGTTGGGGATGGGATATTTTTATGTGGCTCCCTAAGCCTATGGTATGGCATGCTTGCGTTGTTAGTTTAAAAATAGGACTTAGAGAACAGTAAACGGATTGTGCCAAATGAGACCTGGGCCGCTTTACCTGTGGTTACCAGGTTCTGATTACAAAGGCTTCCTAATGAGGTGTGGGGTGGGGTGAGGGTGCTGTGATAAAATCTTTACTTTTATTGTGTTTCTGCCTCATCCCTGTGAAATATGTGTTTAGAATCACTTATTTCACAACTTATTACAGCACCTGTGCTGTGCTCTTTTGTGACTAATCTAGATATTTTCAGACTGAGTGTTTTGTTAGCAAATTCTTGAGTCACCGATTAATAAACCCTTCGTGGTATTCGGGTATATTTGTGAGGGTACAGCTTGCAGGCTTGCCATTTTCTTCATTTTCACCTGTCAGCAAGTTTGAACTGACTTCCTTGCGTGCGTGGCTTGGTCAGCATGACGGAGACAACAGAAAAGAAGGGTGATCATCTCTGCTGGCTTTCACAACATTTCCTGGCTAAACAGAATTTTGTACTATACTTTCACTAAGCATATATTGTCTATTTTAAGAAGCTGTGTACTGATTTGGTTGTTGTTTTCAAATTACCTCAGGTACCAGATGTAAGTACTTCTAATTTTGAAGTTTGCTGAAAACTTAAAGGCCCTTATTATACCAACAGATAATCTCAATTTTGAATTCTACTTCGTTTCCCTTTGGAAGTGGATTCATGAATGTTGGTGTTTCTGTCAGCAATCAAAGGGAGAGAAGTGGTGTTTTTTTTGTTTTGTTTTGCTTTGTTTTCCTTCCTAATAAGCTAGTCTGCATCAAAAGAAAGATACTGGAAGTGAGAAATTGTGTTTTAAATTAATTTGCAATCATTCTTCCATTGATTTGAAAATCACAGGCAACTCTTGCCCTGTGTAGAAATGGAGACATGAAAGACTGAGAGTGGGGAAGGAAATGGGTTCCCCAAGGTGTCAACTTGAAATCCCCTTCTCTTCCTCAGGTGAGAGCTATGTCTGCGGCTCTATTGAGCCCTTTAAGAAGTTGGAATACACCAAGAATGTGAACCCCAACTGGTCCGTGAACGTCAAGACCACCTCGGCTTCCCGGGCAGTGTCTTCACTGGCCACTGCCAAGGGGGGACCCTCAGAGGTTCGGGAGAATAAGGATTTCATTCGACCCAAGCTGGTCACCATCATCAGAAGTGGAGTGAAGCCACGGAAGGCTGTCAGGATCCTGCTGAACAAAAAGACGGCTCATTCCTTCGAGCAGGTTCTCACTGACATTACCGATGCCATCAAGCTGGACTCGGGCGTGGTGAAGCGCCTGTACACCTTGGATGGGAAGCAGGTAAGGTGGGGTTTGGGGGACTCTGATTTTATGAACAAGAATCAGGAAATTGTGAGGTTATGCCTGGCATGCAGTGGGGATCTCAAACACGTGCTTTGTTGGTGTTGATGGGACTGAGTCACCTAGTTCACAAACACTCGATCTGAGACTAGGTGAAGTTGGTACCAGATAGGATTGCTCATCAAAATAAATTAAAAAAAACCCAAAACAGCAAAGCAAGGGTAGGAGTTGTCTTTAAAAAAAAAGAAATTGTCATTTTTATTATCTCAGTAATTATTTGTTCAGCATAATGGTGCTGTTCTGTCTTCTGATTTCAAGTTTGTCCCGTTCCCTTTAAGACCTGTTAGAGCCATAAAGACGACTATGATGCTGAGAGAAACCAAACTGAAAGGGGAAATTAGACAAGCACTTGTTGAACTAAACCACAACTTATGGTTCTATGTCTCAGGAATGTTCATTAGTCTGAGTCAATGGAATTGTAGAGACTTTAAAATCTGTAGCTAAGAAATGCCATATTTCCACCTGGGCTACTCTGAGAATTCTTGTCAGGACGGAAACCGCAGGAAAAGTTCATACTGATCACATGCATGGCGTGTTTGCTACTCATTTGGAGCTGAACGGTGCCCTTTTGTCTATGATGATCATTTTGAGCGTTCTTACCTTTGCTTGAAGTGTGCATTTTTGCAAAACTTTTATCAATATGTAAGAATCTCATGCAAAGTATTTTGATCATATTCATCCTCTGCTTCATCCCCGACTCCTCCTAGATCTACCCCCACCTTCTTACTTCCTTCCAATTTGTGCCCTCTATTTATTTATTTATTTATTTATAACCCACTAAATCCACTTTGTACTGCTCATGCATCCAAGGGTATGGGACCACCCAATGGAGTATGGTCAGCCTGCCGGAGGCCTTTTTACCCTTACGCAATACTCCCTCCCCGAGAAACCATCCCTGAAATGTAGCTTTTAATGTGGTTTTTCTTGAACTACATTTTATAATTTGAAGATAATTTGAAGGATTTGCATGTTTAGCTCATTTTAAAATCTAAACTAGATTCATAATGAAGAGGCTTCTTGTACTAAATAGAATTCTCATGAAAGTCCTAAAGGCTGACACATCCAAAGCTTATGAATGAGAATAGAGGCCCACACTACAAGGAGTGTCAGTCATGAAGAATCATTTCCCCGGGGTTCCATTTAAATGTCCTAACTTATTAAAATTCATAAGGAACAACGGAGTGTGCCAGTTGTCTGTGAGTATTGACCAGCTTCTGCTTGTCTCATAAAACTTGCATGTGGATTAGGATTCATGGGGAATGTCCACTATATATCAGAGCCAGCAAGGCCACCACGAGCTTGTGAATTAAGGTGGCAACAAGGAGACAAATTTCATCTTTAGACGTTCAAGTCCGTCTCAGGATGTGCAAACATTCCATAGTTCTGGGTTTCCCTGAGGTGATTTTTTTTTCAAGATGGGAGTTTATCTGTTTTCAGAAAAGAGTAAAATTTAAGACAAAAAAGATACATGCTCATGAAAGGGGAATGGAGCACTATGTGGGTAGAGGAAGAGTATCAACAATGGGTGACACAGGGGACACAGGGGACAAAGGCAGACAACAGGGAAGGGGAATGAATGAGAACAAAGTGGTGAAGCCTGTGGAGAAGAGCGCTACAATGAAACCTCTTACTTCGTGTGTTAGCTTAAGGAACGCAAAATCATTTTAAATTATTTATGAGTGCTCCTCTTCCGTTCCCCTTGTCCTCCTCCTCTTCTGCTTTTTCTCATTTAGAATTTGAAGTATTTAAAATTACTATATACTAAGTCATGACATCAGGTTCCGCTGCCTCAGTTAACACTTGCAACCACTGATCATTTTTGTTTACTTTCTCCTAGATTTGATAGAAGGTCTCAATTGTTTCTTCTTTTCTGAATTTGCCCACCACCACCATTTCACAATGTCTATGCTTGCTATGGACTAGTGTAAATAATCCATGCGAATCATTCAATGGAATTGGAAATAATCCAGTGTTTAAGAGACAAAGACTGGGATTCAAATCTTGGCTTATCAACAGATGATTCTTGAAAACATGTGACCGAGCTTCATTATAATCACCAATAAGACATGGATATTATTATTCCCGTGCTGTGGAGTGCTTATGGTTTCAGCTATGACAGTGTATGTTACAGAACTGTTGAAGTATAATAATGACAATAGGTTGATCGACCATGATTCTAAGTGTATGGCATGTATGAGCATGTTTGATCCCTACAAGAGTTGGATTATTGTTCTTACTAAATAGAGAAGTGAACTAAGACATAATTTGCTAAACATGTTAAAACATGCTTAAAACATGTCTAAAGATAATAAATGGTGGAGTTAGGCTATGAGCCAGTGACACTCAAGGGCTTGCACTGGTAATCCCTACACCAGGGCAGATCTATCTGGTCAAGAGCAGCATCTGCAAATCTCTTTAGGAAATTTGTGAATGGAATGGTGACAGGCAGTGTTCCCTCACCCCAGAGGGAATCCTGAGGTCATTAACTTATAAAGAGGAAAGTACCTTGGCTTATAGGTCTGCAGGTGTTAATCCATGACCAGGTTGCCCATTCTTTTGGGCCAGTGGCAAGGCAGAACTCTGTAACAAGGACTTAGGCTAAAGTGAGCAACGCCATTCATCTAATATCTAGGAAGTGAAAGAAAGTGGGAAAGAGGCCATGAAGGATCCACAGCCATCTTCTAGGGTGTATCTCCAATACCAGTCTTACCATGAAATCTACTTCTTAATGGTTCAACCACCTCGCATAGCAACAGCCGGAGAAACAAGCCATTTAGAATTCAGCCTGTGGAGGTTGTTCAAGGTCTAACCTATAACAGAAGTGTTTCCCCCAAGGAATCTGATTTGAATGTTTCCAGGGTAGGAATGGATGGATGGATGGATGGATGGATGGATGGATGACACATAGTGAGACAGATGATATCTCATATCCACTGTAGTTATTCTAACTGACTACTGAAGTTGACTATGTTTCTTGAAGCACAGTTTTCTGTGCAGGAGAATTAGATGAGTCAAAGATTTTAAAGATTTTTTTGCTTGAATCCCCAGTAGCGAAAATAGAGTCCTTTTTTTATGAACCCCAGGAGTCTTAAATCATTTCAGCTCTCAAAGGAAATCTCCCCAATAGTTTGTTCAAGAAGACTGTTTGGACAGTTCTGACAGAGACAGGTTGTTATGGTAAGCCTTTGAGAGACAGTCAGGTTCTTCCAAGCCTTCCCACGGAGTGACACTCAGTGTGGGGAATGGCATCTTAACTCTGTGTTGGGTTTCTGTTGCTATGATGGCCAGGACCCAGAGCAGTGTGCGGAGGAAACAACGCATACGTCTGAGAGTTGTACAATGCCATTGCTAAGGGAAGTAAGGGCAGGAACCTGGAGGACGGAACTGAACCACAAGCCATGGAGGAGTGTTGCTTACTGGCTTGGCCCTCATGGCTTTCTTTCTTACGCACTCCAGGGCCATTGGCCCAGGGGTGGCACCACATCAATCCTCAATCAAGAAAATGCACTGCAGGCTGGCCCAGAGGGCAAACTGCTGGAGGAATTTTCTCAACTGTGTTTCCCTCAAAATGACTCTAGATTGTGTCAAGTTGACATACAGCTAGCCAGCACACTCAGTACACAATGGCATGGGCATCTATAGGCTACATCAAGAACCAGCTTTTTAATTAGCACCACCTTCTAGCCAACTAAGCTAACTGCTCATTGACTTGTGCTATTTATTTTTTAAAATAAATTTATTTATTTATTTATTTCTTAACTCAGGTCTGCATCAAACCCATAAACAGTATGGAAAATACATGAATAAATATTTAAAGATAATATTTTTGTCTTGAAGAAATAGAACTGTTTATCAAACGAATGCTTGCATGCTTTTGGTAGCTACCTAGTAAGGAGTGGGGACAGGGTACAAGCTGGAGTGATTTCGCTACCCCCTTTAGGCAGCACGCGGATGTGTTGTGGATGGGAACAGCGGACGCTGTGGTTTTAGCAGGAACAGTGAAAACTGTACCCACTGTTTACTGTTCCCCGGAGGAACTGGGCGCTGGAGGGCATAGTCCACATGCTGTTCTCATGAGTTCTTGCTACCACGTGGCCTCCTAAATTGCTGCCTCCCCGGGCTGTGTTGAACCCTATCCTCAGAGTTTGTTCAGCCCCTGGCACTTTTTTTTTCCCTGAGATATTTTTAGGCGGAACTAAGGAGATCAACATATTGGAAATGCTCCACTAGCTAAAGTATCCACAGGAAGCTGCAGTCGGCTAAGACGGCCATGGGGGCTCACGAGCTGACGCGTCCAGAATTGCTTAGCAAAAACCTTTCTCTTTCCGCACTGCATGCCACCAGCTTCTGGGACAAGTCTGCCCATCATGCCGTCAAGCTATCAGCTGTCGTGGCTGCAGAATTCACAGAAATAGTTGCCGAGCTCTATTTGCAGTGGTGTTCTATTTATCTGAGTCTGGACTGAGGGCCTGCCAGAAAGCGAGAAGGACATGCGCACACTAACGGTGAAGTCGCGTCTCCTTTACCCACATTTCACAGAAGCTCCCAGGACCTGAGAGCCCGAGAGTCACTTCCTCTGTTGTGTCTCAGTGTTGGCTGTCCATTCACCCTGCCACGCTGTCCCTCTTGGAGGGCGTCTTAAATATTACTGTTTTACAATTATTAAGCCATAGAGATACAAGATTTGCCATAAGCATAGTATGGCTCTTGAATCCTTCTATGGCGATGTCAGTCTGACTGCCTGAAGCTGGTAAATCTTCCACAGTCATGATTGTTGACACTTCCTTAGAAATAGACGGAACAACAAGTGCCTCATCAGGTCATTTGCACAGGGAAGATCATTTCCCAAACACCTCCACCCCCTCTGAAATACAGCAACAGCAAACCAGATAATGTTTAAGCGGAAAACGTAGGTAGATCTGCCTATTCTTAGACACTGA